AATTCTACGTGCAATACATGCTGGATCGATAAATGATGCATGATTTCCTGGCCAATTGCGAATATCGCCGCTTCGCATCTATGTGCCAGCATTAGCTTGTGCGCCATATCTTGTACCTTCCGTTCATTTGTGCTACCTTATACTTGTTGCCACGTGATGAATTCTCGATTCGTATCCTCGAGCCCTGTGCCTCTTACCTGAGTCCATCCTTTCCAGGAGGGCTTGTGCAAATACCATGGGTGGATAAATATGATCTTTATTACATGGCAATGTCAGCAGGCGCATAACAATGAACGGAATTAACATCACACAATGAAAGTTCCGAATTATGTCTCCTCCTCTTTCGTCGATGGGACCAGTTCTTGTGCCGCTGCTTCGTTTCTTCCCGCTCACGATGTTCTCCTGGATGTGGCGGCGGCGCTCGAGACTTCGACAGGTCCGTCCAAGATTCTTCTCGCCTGCAGATGATCGGCATCATCATTATGCTGCTTAACTACCTCTCGGATAGCTGTCGGATCCCGTCATTCGGGCTACCCGCGTCCATACCTACGTACAAACATCCGTTAGTGGTGATCCCACCTTCTTCCCGCTAACAGATGCATCCAAAGCCGATTTTGGCTGCCCTTGCAAAACAGCTGCGACAAAAGCTCAGGAAACAAACAACCACAGAACAGACTCAAGTGCGGCTTCGCTGCCACCTGATGCCTCAAACGGCCGTGTGGTATGACTGCTTGAAAAGGGAAGCATCGGGAAGAGTAGGACGGCAAGATTATAATGAATCAAATTCGGTCGTTACTGTATAGTACGGTCAACACCAATCTTACTCTCCCAGCACGATAGGTACCTGGTTTATTCGTGTGGACAGAACTCGGCCGGCGCCTGTCGCAGTCCGTACCCAACAAATCATGATGGCTTCTTGCCAGCAGTCACCAAAGAAAAGGGATAGAACCAACGAAAACTGCGATAAAGCGGTCAAAAACATCATGTGGCGATGTGAGCAGATTCGACGACGGTACGGGGCCGACGTGTACGTCCAGGTCCGCTTCAAGAGCAAGTCCTATGAGTACACGTCTTCCAATGAGCACAATTTCCCCAGATCTCGTGCAGAACTGGTAGGTTCACTCTTACCCTAGTTCTTCAAGGCTGAACTTTCAAAGAAAACGACCTACCCTGTCCCGGTGGCAAGATCGCCACTGGACTATGAGGAAAGAAGATCTCGAAGCGAAGTCCAAGGTCAACCTGGCGTGGGTCGTCGTTGAGTGCGACAATGTAACCGTCCGGCGGAGGATCGTAGTCGCGATGATGTCCATTTTGCTTGTAGAGCTATCGCCCTAATCGATCCTGATTTTTAGGTTGGCTGTGTACGACTGCGTTACAGAACAGGGACAGCGATGGCGACATTGGCGAGCCTTCAGGTACCCCAACTTGCGGCAGCGGCCGCACCTCGAACTCGTGCCCGCTGACCAGATGGCCTGGCGTTCTCCTAGACACTAGGTAGTCGGAAACCGTTCGCGCCTTCGGTCTTTAAAGTAGCCTCTAGTTATACATCGAATGATATGGTTTCTTGGTCTCATACCGCCTCACAGTTGATTTGAAGACGTAGATGAAGACCCGGTCCGCTCACCGGCAAACTCCACGCATGGGGAACCCTCACCGAAACCACTGGCAAGATGGGCCATCCTCTCCCGTTTCATTAGCCGAGATATACTGGCGATTGACCATCATGATTATTTCAGCTAGGGCTCTAGGAAGTCTACAGCCATGGACCATGGAGTCCAATCCGACGAATTCTCCCCATTCACTCGATGCCAGGAAGGCGCTGATGGATGTAGGTAGGCCAAACGACCTTGATGTGGTTAGGTGAAATCGGCGAGGCATGTGGCTTGTGCGTCAACAGCCCTTTCTCTGCACGCACTGTACGGAGCGCACGTGAGTTACACGACGCGTCGTTTTGGACGGTCTAGTCCCTGGACGCCTTCTACGAAAAAGGCTCACCCGCTGACAAGGATGCTGAGGGTTGCTCAGCAACAGCACGATCCATTCTATTGGCTGACCTCAACTCTTTACTACCACTATCCATCCTTCGAAAACCGAATGCATGCCTTATCAACCACATCAATCACAGCCATCATGAGCGGGACAAGAAGTGCTGAGGAGTTGGCTCAGCTTCTGCGACAAGCAGAAGAACGTGCTCACAGAGAAGGAGAACGCGCCGCGGCGGCAGAAATAGAACGGCAGCAAGAACGACAGCGTGCTGACAGAGAACGAGAACGCGCCGAGGCGGCAGAAATAGAACGACAGCAAGAACGACAGCGTGCTGACAGAGAACGAGAACGCGCCGCGGCGGCAGAAAAAGAACGACAGCAAGAACGACAGCGTGCTGATAGAGAACGAGAACGCGCCGAGGCGGCAGAGCATCAAACCCAGCCTACTTCACTCGACGAATATATCGCTGCCTGTCATTCCCTCGTTTTCGCCAAATTCAACGTCGAAACGGACCGTAGACTTACCTCCAAGGGCTCCATCACAAATCCGCGAAATAAATTATGTCCCACCAATCTCCGCCCATGGCCCGACTTCCTGCACCAACAAAGTATCGTCTTCGGCACCCTCTATGACACTTTCCCTGCCGATAAACGCTGTTTCGAAAGCCCATCGTTCCTGTCCGGCCTAGGAAGCAGGATTGCGAAGCGCAAGATCACAGACGAGAAGGCCCTCGAGTACTTCCTGCATAATAGCGTCGAGGACCCCGTCAGAGCAATCATGGACGAGCTCAAGCAGGTGGAAGAAGTCAAAGGCGCGTTCGATTTAGGCAACGGAATCGTCTTCGAGAACCACCCGCATGTGCTCAGCGACACAGCCGCGGAGGTCGTCGAACGCAACCTCCCATCGACACCCCCCTCCACACCGCACAATAGCAAAGTCGACCTCCAACAGCTACGGGCCGATCAGATCTGCGTCTACCGAACCGACTCCTCGAACAGCCGTTCGATGCTCTATATTTCCGAGTATAAACCACCGCATAAACTCACCGCGCCGCATCTCCGCCTCGGTTTGCACTCGATGAATATACACAAGGAAGTGGTCAACCGCAAGACGATACCAACATCAGTTGACCCAGACGCGCGATTTCAGTATCACGCGGAGAGACTTACCGCAGCCGCCATCACACAGACCTATCACTACATGATCGAAGGCGGGCTCGAGCACGGCCTGTTGACGACGGGCGAGGCAATCGTGTTCTTGAAGATTGACTGGCGCGAGCCCGAGACGCTTTTCTTTCATCTGGCGGAGCCATCTGCAGAGGTGGCAGCCCACCCCAAGCATGCCCACCTCTGTACGGCAGTTGCTCAATACTTGGCCTTCAGTCTGATTGCCCTTGGCGTGCCAGGCGAGCGACGGCTGCATGGGCAGGAAGAGCGGCACCGAGCCATCGGCAAGTTGAAGACGTGGAGAGAGGACTTCGAGACGACGCTGCGATCCATTCCGGACGAAGAAAGGCAGCCACCGGACAGCTCGCCAGGCTACGAACCAAAGGTCTACGAGGACGTCGATAGATCTCCCTACTTCCTCCGAGGAAAGAGACGAGGGCATGCGAGGGACGGCCGTACAAATGAGCAAGTGAGGAGGGATCCGAACGAATCATCCGATGAGGAATCGAGACGGGACGTGCCAGACACACCCACTCCTACGGAACGGCGGACACGTGGAAAGGATCTCCAAAGCCAGGCGGATCAGGGCGGTCAGGGAACGCGACGGAGTAAGCGAATCCTGGAGCGTCGGTCGCGAGATGGTGAAGACGGAGGAGGAAGCCACTTCAAACGCATGCCATACTGCACCCAAAAGTGCTTGTTAGGGCTTGTCGGAGGCGGTGTCCTCGACTCAGCGTGCCCGAACAAGTTGCTCCACTGCGAGAAGTCTGCCAACGACCGCGGTCACTGCTGTAGTCGAGAACGTGCAGATGCTCATCATCCAATCGACCAGACAGAATTTCTGAGGCGCCTCAGGGAACAACTAAAGAATTCCTTGGACCGTGGAATCGCCCCCTTACGACGGGGTGGTGCTCGAGGAGTCTTATTCAAAGTATGCCTGCGTGCGTATGGCTACACCTTTGTCAGCAAGGGTACAGTAGAGGCATTCATCAAAGACCTTCAGCACGAGGCAGCGGTTTACGAACGTCTACGAACCATTCAGGGTGTGCACGTACCGGTGTTCCTCGGGTCTATCGACCTTCGAACGATCAACAGAACTTATTTCTACGACCACCGAGTTTATGTGGTGCATATGACATTTCTGTCGTGGGGAGGGCATGATCTCTACGAGATAAAGCGCGTGGAGGGTGGAGATAAGCACCTGGAAGCCATGAAAACGCGGTTATTGCATGCAATCCGTGATCAGGGTGTTCAGCACAATGACGTGCAGGATGAAAACATGCTGTTCAGTGAGGAAGTCGAGAGAATCATGATGGTCGACTTCGAAATGGCGCAGTTTGTGGAGCCACATCGGCCTCCACTCGAGCAACTTGTGCCGAACAAGCGCCGACGGACAAGGAAGGCTACAAAGAGCAGCAAGTCAGGAATGAAGTCAACCAATCGAGATGAAAATAATGGAGTTTTTTTTTTCTCGGGGGGGCGATGAGATGATGGGGGATCTTGGGCATTCTGGGGATCCAATTGACTCATAAGTCAAATCCGGGAAATTGAAAAGCAGTCGATTTTCGCAATTTCGCATGAACTGGTTCATACTCCTTCTGACACGTTTGTGAGTTAGTTTGGTATTGGCCGGTCGTGGCTGTGCCCTTTTGAAGTAGCTATACACTGTTGCAATGTTCGTCTTCGATCGGCATCGATTTTTCGTTGTCTGTCGAGCGAACATTTCCTCGACGCTACTGAAGTGGATCGCTGGGTGGGCGATGGAAAGCGTGAAGGTGACTTTTCCATTCCCCATACCATGAGCAAACTGTCACAGTCTTACGTAATGAGGCGCTTACTACCACACGCAGCCGGCATAGAAACGGTGATCTTTGGTGGAGCCTTGCCAAGACTCGACATCAGTTCACATGATGCAGATAAATGGCTCTGTATTCCTGAAGGTGCAAACGAACTGCTGTCTTGCAAACCGCTCCCTGTCAACACCAGAGCGCGCCCTTCAAATCATCTGGAATAGTCTCTTTCGCAACACATGAAGGGTATACTTTACCGTCTAACGTCTCTGTGGTTTTCTCATGGATCGCTAAGCAATACTTGCCTCCGTTCTCTCGGACGGCCTTGCGTAATTGGCCCAAGACTGCAGCTAACTGCGAAGGTCGAGTCGGTGCGTTTCCTCCCAACCCGCAAACTGAGCTGCAGTGTGGGTGATTTTCAACTTTTCGAAGGTTCCATTTGCTTGCTGTCCGATGATAAGCCAGGGCGTTCCGCCGAACCAGAGCTGCGGCATGTATGCACCAGGGCTCTTGGGCTTGGCTGCTGTCTTGATTCCTGCTGCATTCGCTTGAGCCATCGGCACTCTTTGTGTCAGCCGTTGGCTGGCAGAAGCATCTCCTCCATGTCCGTCGTCCGTTTGCAATCGACTCATTGCGAGTACCAACGATTCTGAAGTGCCGCCCTCCTCAACCTTCCGCTCGTAGCTTGCGTTTACCTCAAAACGCACGACACACGTGAGATCCCCCAGTTGGTATCGAAGAGCCTGGTGATGCGCTATGCTGTCCTCCAGCCCAGGCGGGTATCGAGTGAAGGTGCGCTCGAAGATCCTCCCCAACCTAGAATTTTGTAAACCGCTGATCAGCTTGCCGACGGTCTTCTCGCAACGCTCGATAATCAGGGCACGGTGAACCAGATACAAGTGGATGCGAAAGCCGTCTTGTCGCCGTCCTCTGCAGAAGTCGAGGTTTCTGACGCTCTTTTGATTCGCCAAAACGTCCACTTCGCCAACGCGGAATGATGGGTTCATCGATGCCGTGCCGCAAATCCGCGGCCCAAAAGAGCACTCAGGAACACGTGCCGCGCTGTGGTTCATCAAGCGTGTACCCCGGTCTTCAGGCACCGTAGTTGGCAAGGAAATGTCCTGATAACCTGTTGCGCTGGATACCATGGAGTTCGATGGCCTCACCCAGCTATCCATCACGGTCTCCCACATCCACGCGTCACGCCGAGGGGGGGGGGTGGTTCGACATGCCCCGTCTTCACTTCCCGAGGGTGTTCGTTCTTACCCATCTAATGGTGATTCGGACCTGTAAGCAGACAAGACTGCTGTCCGCTGGAAGAAAACCCCACGGTGCGAGATGGCACCCCAGCCAGAGTTGCGAACTAGATGTGGGATTGGATGTTGTACATGAAAGACCTGAGGATGGCAGCGTGAAACGAACGCTCGGAGCCCAGATTTAGACGCTGCTGCGGCTGCCACAAGTCAGCACCCGAATTGTCCAGTTTGCTGGCGCTGAGATTGGTGCACTTCCGCCTGTGCGGCCGCCAATCCTGCAACGCGCTACCCCGCATCACAGTGCGAGGCCAATGAAGCAAGAGGCTCAACGGCCCGCTCTGCTTACGAATAGGCTCTTTGGCAAAAGTGCCAAACTTGAGGATGAGTCTGTGACAAAGAAGCCGTCCTGGCTGCGAGCAGGCGGTATTTCCTTCTTTCCTTGCTGTTTCGTCGAAAGCCCAATCCCTCATTTCCACTCACCTCTGTCGAGAAGCACCAATGACCATGCACCCCATGTCACCGTGAGGCCCGCTGGCATCGACAGAGCCGCCAACAGACCACCTGCTTCTTCGATTTGATGATGGAGCATTGCATACGACGCCATTGAATCTGACGTCGTGGCACGGAGAATGGATGAGCCGCTGACTCAGAACTTTTGGGAGCAAAGGGGGCGCGAGGTGTTGGTAAGCGCGACAAGCATCACATTTTATGAAACGCGACCACGCAGCAGCTGTGGCAAAATAACTCGAGCCTTCTGCCCATACAATTGGTTGGCTCTTCTACAGAAGGGGACGACATCATCTAGGACTCCTGCCTTATGGGAAGATCTTGCGGTGCGAATCTATGGAATTGCGGGAGTATTTGTACCAGCATCACTGCAATCGGCGCCTGCGAAGAGGAGCACCACCTTTGAGCGACAATCGAGTTACTCGGAATCGCGCGTCGAACCCGGAGTTCCTTGCAGATCAATAGACGAATCGAGGCTTTGGAGTGCGAGCCGGCGCGAAACCCCCCCCCAATTTTTCGAGAAAAAGAAGACGAAGCAGCTCAAAGAAGAACCTGTAGTGTCATATTGGCGCAAGCTCTGCGAGCACTCCAAACCCGCTTTGGTAAAACTTGCCGCGTTCACCAGATGGGTACAATGGAAGGCAGAGTGACAATGGGGAGGAAGATTCTGCAACATCGCTTGCGATGTTGCAATCGACAAGCACTCCCATTCAGAATAATGTCTCGCAATACGCGCCACGTTGTGGCTAAAATGCATACAAAGCTTTGATACATACGTACAATGGTAGAGCGACAAACCTTGGTCGGTGACGAAAGATGGGCATGCGCCTCACCGTAATTTGTGCAGCGTAAGATTCGTCGTTCAGTAGATGCATTCTTACTAAAGCCTCATCACGATGCATAAAAAGCAGCACGATCACGCTGTTGAATAGTCGACTGTAAGAGCCAATCAAGGTCAATACGCAGATGCGAATGGAGTGGACACGGGCGAATCGGGAGAATGCATGCCTCTGAAGGGACCTGTTTCCCCTGATGCAACAATCCACCAGTCAGGAAGCGAAGCACTGTGAACGCTACCTGGCTCGACAGCGCCTCGGGACTGTGCGTTGACACAAATGCTCAGTCAGCTGAGATCTTTCAGCCAACAGCGATGATCAGGTCTATCCGTGTCCCATCGCCATAGAGCGGGTGTTTATTCTGTGTCCGGCTACAAACGCTCGTTCGTGTATGTGATTAAGAATAATTCTGCGGCCGTTCTACCTCTTCGGATTGGTGGACGTGACGATAAAATGCCTGGCAGGCTTCATGCTTGCGACCCGTTGCCATGATCGTGACGGGTTTGGCAGGGCTCCACCTGGCGACTTAGTGAATCGGCATTAAGGCTCAGATCTTCTCGCGATTAATTGCCAATCGCCAATTGCCTGGCTGATGTAATCTGTGCATAAAACCGACGGATAACCCCCTTCCGACGGTCCAAACCACTCTTGGTTATAACGGGCCTACCGGATCCGGCCTCTCTTCAACACCAAAGTTATGCAATGTTACTTTCTAAATCAGTGGCTGAGACGGGCCGGAGATGGTATACTACTATGTAGTTGCTGGCATCAGTGCCAATTCTGCCTACAGATTGGCGATAAGAGAAGGGCGCCCAATAGCCAAGTTCTGTTGCCAGAGCTGGTCCCAGAGCTGGAAACCTATTCTCAGGTATCTAACGGCCGCGGCAGAGGCGCTGGTCTACGACCCAACGCAGTGATACATTTGCTAGCCTAGCAGTGGCAGAAGCCGTGGCTTTGTACCTCTGGCAATTGGCGATTGGCAATTAATCGCGAGAAGATCTGAGCCTAAGGACGCGGATGGAGCCAACGAGCCCTGACACGATGTTGTGAGGAAGTGGGGAGGTGCGTTGCAGGAGTTTCTGCCACTGGTGCCAACACAATCAGTATCTACTTTCAGGCGAGTGACTTAAGCGGATGTGCCTATCTCACTGACAAGACTTTGGTGGACGAGCCGTGGATAGGGGCTTTATGGTGGTCATTCTCTAATCGATAAGAAAATCACATGAGGTGCTGTGTAGCTGCCTTGTACTGATCCTGTTGGCAGGGCGAATTCCCTTGGCGCTGACGGCACAAACACTTGAACGCACCTCCGCACAGAGCCCGCATTTGGCTGCATCGGCCGAAAAAAGCATCAAGGATAAACGACAAGCGACCTAACCAGAGAACCGTTTTCTCCAACGGATTGAGGGCGGACGGGCAGAAAAGCACGGCTGGGAGCGGCGGAAAATCCTGTGGGGATGTTAGAAGGCGGCAGAATCCATAATCGGAAGGGGACGGCAGAAAGAAAAGTTTGGGCTGGCAGAATAAAACCGGGGCGGCAGAATGCACCAAAGGCTCGCTGATAGGTGCAGGAACCCATGCAAATGGCAGAATTAAACTGGGTACGGCAGAACCGCCGAATTTGGAAGTAACTCTGTGAACACGGCAGAAAAATAAAGGCGATTGCCAAGGCTGCAAAACGTGGCAACTGCTTTGGAAGTGGCAGAATTAATATGGGGCGGCAGAAATTGAGTGCCTGTCAAAGACGAAAGACCTGTTCCTGTTAGTGCAATTTTCGAACATGCAATGATTTCGATGACGCCTTTGGCGGACTTCTGAGAGAACAATCGTTCATCACTAAGCGGATATACTTCGATGGCACATCGTTCCCTTACATGCGCGTTGCAAAGCATGCATGCCTCGGTGGTTGAAAGCCCTCAGGGTAGAGGGTACTGGAATAGCACGAGGGTTGCAATGTGACTAGCCTAGCACGGTGATTGTCATTTTCCCGAGCGACGGCAATCCGTTGTGAACAGCCCGATGCCATTAAGTAGCTTCGCTATGTGTAAAAAGACTTTTGCCTGAATTTCATTGTTATAAATGACCGAAGTAAATAAAGGGCGAAAACCCCCCCTTTGCGTGATGAAGTTTACAGTTGACCATCTTTTGAAGTAACTCTCGCCAAAACCATTTTTGAGCATTCTTCTCTGCCTTGGTTTCTCGTTCCTCCTATCCATGACTTGTTTCGTAGTCCTCAACGAAACTTCGTGTTCCACTTTCACATGATTCCTGAAAGCGTCCAGCGTCTTCATGCTCTGAAGTAATGGGTCATCTCGGCACTGGGGATGGTTGCACCGTATGACTCCGCCAGGACCAACTCTACGCTCTCGCTCTTCGAGACGCTGGTCGTCAAAATGGTCGTTCCGCACTGTTGATCGGCAGTATTTGAATGTCCGCTCTTCTATGGTGAGCCTCTCATCACAGACACAATCAGGGCACTGGGTCTGATCAAGGAGACGGGGTACGACCTTAGGTTGAGGTCGAGGTTGTTGTTCTTTTTGAGACTGAGCCTGACAGTCGGTACGGATGCGGGTGTGAACCAGTTTGAATGTCTCCCTCTTGTTGAAAGTACAACCATTAGGCCCATAGCCTCATTCCAAACCTCCATCAGTTCGTCGTTGTTGCAATCGACAGGTTGATGACGCAGGATATCGGCCAGTCTAGCCCACTCAAGGATCTTCAGATTGATGACCGGTTCGACTTATTCGTCGTCGTGATCGCCAGGAACTGGGCAGCTTGCAGAAGTCGATTTGTGGAGTGTCATTATTCCAAAGTTTGTGTGGATGAGGAACGAGAATGAGAGTTGGCAGCTGTCAGGGAAATAGCTGCCATTAATATACTATTAGGCTCGGAGAGACTGTCTGTCCGACTTCTTGGTCCGAGGTATCAGCCCCTGGAGCCATATCTGTCATGCAGGGAGTGAACGTTGGAAAGGATCCATCCTCGCGGTCAAGAGGTGCGGCTAATCAATGAACCTCGGACAACCCAGCGATCATACGTATTGTGCCATCTTGGTCGCATGGGTGGCGGCCTCTGATCTTGCTATCGGCGGCCTCCGTCTCTCCCGGCGCTGATATTTCTCTGTTGATCTCATCGTGACTAGACTTAGTAAGCTCGCTTGGCCCCTTTCGATTTCCAGCTGTAGTAGCTGGTGCTTCGTGACAAAGGTTCTTTTCGCTCGACTATCATGCTCAGTTTAATGCTGACATATTCCTTGCGATTCGGTAGAGAGAATTTCACATCGACAGGACCGTCTCTGCCGTCATGCTCAAAGAAGCATTTAAAGCTCATCTGATCCCCATTAATAGACACAACAGCCTGAAACGGTGTGATAGATGGCAGATATTCCTTGTCGCTTCCGTAAAGGGAAGAGCTGTCTCCTTCACTTTGTGAATCATCTAACGGTGTCTGCCGTTGCGATTTCACGCCGGAGCACCAAGTGGGCGTAGCGTCGCTATCGTCGTGAATGCTATCATGAAACTCGTAGCTCGTCTCAAAGGGACTTCTCTGCGGGCAGCTGTTGTAATGAGAATTCTGGTGGTAAGAGGGTGGTCCAGGGGTCCGATCTTGGGATTCCAACCCCTGAGAGTCAGTAAGGGACCTAGGGCTTTCCAAATTTGAACAGACAGCGTTGGAAAAGTACTCCCACAGCATCGGTGTGGCTTGTCTATGAGACCTCGACGAGCATCGTGATGAGCTTTGTAAGGGTTTCGAGCCGTCTGCCTGACTGGTCTGAGAAGAGGTTGTCATCATGGCTGGCAATGGAGAGCGAATGCTGCCGAGAGTGCCACCATGGGCATGGATAAGGGCGGGAATGTCATCTCCTTGTCTTCCCACCGACGGCCCGTGGCCTGTCAAATACCTCTCATTGGTATCTGAGATGGCTGGCTAACAAGTCCTTCCTTGCATTCAATGCCGCGGTATGCGTTACGGCACTTTGCCTATTTTCTTCAAAGTATCTTAATAGCAGGCCCCCTGGCCACTGTCAGGCCTCCAACGTATAGCCCCTCTTCATGTAGGGGTGTCTGCCTCGTTGACTCATGCTTTTTCCTTGGTTTCGTTTTCTTTGACATCAGCCTAACTCTCCATCATTCCTTATGTACCGCGCGACCCTCACAGCCATACGACGAGGGCACTATTGAGCTACAAACCTCCCGAACGAACCTTGATCGCGAGCGACTTCAACGCTCAACCACTACTCTTGGTAGTCCGGTGCGAGGAACGGGAATCGGGGAGACGACATCGCAGGCTGGGCAGAAGACCATAGCCTCAGCTTCATCAGCAAGGTCGGGGTTGCGACATATGATCGCGGACATATTCTCGACCTCGTTTTCTCCAACATCCTTTTCGCATAGGCGTATACTAGTCTAGACCCATACCCAGGGGCCGACCACGAAGCCATTGTCGCCGTCATCCTAATATCTAACCG